ATATGAAACTGAAATGGTAGACACATAGCTGATAATTTCTTTTTTTATTCAACTTGTGAAAACACCTACTAAAGCGAATGCATTTACTGATCTAGTGTTTTCAGAACTGAAGAACATGAGAAAGATAACTAATGAGAGGATGCCATAGAGCCCATCTATCCTATTTGATTACTAGGCAGATTTATTCAGGGATCTCGTCCAGCTATTCCTTAAAACAATATCAACTTGAACAAGATGCTTAGGTAGCTTGTTCCAGTCTTACATAAACCTTTGTGTATAGAACAGAGACCTATTCTCATAATTTTCCTAAAGTTTCCACATGTTTCCTTTGGTTTGTGTTTCTGTTGATTCTGAAGGACTTTGCAGTGCCTTTGAGGATTTTAAATACTTAGATCAAATTTCCTCATAATAGCCTGTCAATATAGGACATTCCTTCAGCCCAGGAATGCATGTGGTCACAGAGATACAGTAACTTTTCTTCTGTGCTGACCAAGACAGGACCTTATACTTTAAATGACATCTTCTTAGTAGAGCATTGTGTACCTTTTTGCAATATGAATTGATTTATACATCTGATTTAAATTCTATACTGTACTTTTATCTATATATAATTCTGTTGGTCTTTTTTTTGCTTTCCCAAAATTACCAATAAGTAGATACAGCGAGGAAAGCAGGTTAAGAGTGATCATAATCTAATATTTGCTTTGAAGTGCACTTAAACTGTAAAGGTAGTATCCAAAACAAAGGTTTATATTTTCAGGAAAGGAGAATAAGAAAGACAAAGCTTAGGGAAGTAGAATGGGTTCAGATAGATATTGAATCAAATAACGATGGTGTCAGATACACTGTAAACATATTTAGCTTGAAGTACAGAAGAGATGAATCCCCAAGAGTAAAAAAGAATCAAAGTCTAGAAAGTGGTGACCCAAATGGTTTAATATATCAATTAAGTAAATTACACAGAGAAAAGAAAACACTTTATAAAATGATTAAAAAAAGAACAGGTTCCAGTTAAAAAAAAGGAGCCATTTAAATCTGGGTTCTGAATGATGCATAGTACAGAAATAGCTCATTAGTGTTACTAATGATCTGCTCATGACTGGACTGTTTTAAGTTCTGTCTAAAAAACCTCAGTGCTTCCATTTAAATTGTTGATCATACCATCCTGCTGAATAAATTAGAGAGGATTGTTAATTTCAATGGAAATGCTTTGTCATTGTTTTATCTAAGTTTTATCTAATGATAAAAGATAATCAAATCAGGCATTTTTTTCGTTTAAACAAAATTACTGTAGGCATTTACTTTACCCTGAAGGGCAATGTTCTATATCACATTATTTTTTAGGATAAATTTATGATATGATAGGGCATCCATCTTCATTTTTGTACTGGCGATACCCAAATTTATGTTCACACAAATGTGATGTTAATCAAGTACCATGCACCTTGTGACACTGCTTAAAAAATTATTGCAGCAACATATTTTAGATCTGAACTCTAACATTTCACAAAACGGAGGTCATGTCGATTGGGTATTATCTTTGATCCGAGCCTTGCATTAGATGCTCATGTTCAGTGTTGTGAAAGTGTCTATATTTCATCCACAACACTGCGCATACTGTATCTCATCTATACCTTCACATCTGAAAACTAATGTTTGCTTAGTTTTTGTATCAGAATTGTATCCAAGCATATTTGTAAGCTGCAACATGTGTAGAGTTCAGAGGCTTGGATCTTAACTAAAATTAAAATGCATGAGCATACTGTATACCCGTTTTAGTTTCCTTGCACTGGCTCCCTCTGGATTTCAAAATCATAGCCAAATTAAAGCTATTCACCATTGTAGGTTTGAATGGTTTGGCTCCCGTATTTCTGACTACATTAGTGAACTATTAACATGCCACTTGCATTATTTGGGCTCTGGCCTTCTTTCAGTTCCCAAAACAAGGTCGTGAACACTGGAATAATTTTGTCTGCTGCTCCAAAGCTATGACATAGTCTCCTATCCCATATCGGAGAATTTTGAATGTCATACAGCATTTTCAAATCTTTCCTTAAAAATCACTTTTATACTATTGCTTTTAGTTCTGTTTAATTTAAAGTATTAATGTGTGTAAACATGTCTTTTTTTGTTTTTAAAATACCTTGAGATAACCTATTCACAAAAGGCATTATATAAAATATACATGAACCATCTTTATCAAGAGTATGAATAATTGTGGAGGTGATTCTATCTTCTTATTATGATGATAATCTACAAGCATACAAGGGATATTAGAATAACTTGGAAAGAGAGACAAGGATATTGAAATTGAGGCAAAAATTATGTTTGATTCAGTATTACAAAATCAAAAGGATAAAGTAGTGTCTCACTTATAAAAAAAGGATTGTAGGAGTCTAGAACAAGCTACCCAATCATGTTTTTGAAGCTGATGAGATCCTTGGATTACTCATCTAATAAAAATCTAGTATATTTGCTAACTTCTTATGTTCTAAAGGAACACCATCATGTTGAAAGGAATGTGGTCAAATGAAAATCAGAAGTCAGTATAGATACTCATAGTACTTATTTATCACAAATTGGTAAAATTCCAGTAATCTTTTTTAACTTAACTTGAATTTGTTCATTTCATTGAAGAAAATAAAATCACACTTATCACAGTGCGCACTTATGCAACCAGGGTGTTGTAGGTTTTTGAATTTAAATTATTTTTCCTAATAATGATCTATTTGTTTTTCTCTTGAATTTTGTTGGTTGCAAGGTCACATTAAAGATGGAAAAATGTCTGACATGATTTATCTTGATTTCTAGCTTTACATCACAGGAATCTGCATTTTCAATAAGGGTGTGTAGACTTTTTATATCCACTGTAGATGTGTAACAATGATGTAGCTCATCATTGAGAAATTGTGCTAACTTACTTTTGGATATGTTGATTAAGGAATTATATTAATGATCATCAATATTTGGAACTATCATCATTGTTCAGGAGGCAGTTTTCTCCTGGAATGGGGAGATTTTAATTAATAGATATACAATCAGTGCTGAAATGACTCTTGTGCATTGGTTTAAAATAAAAATGAAATACTGTTGCTTTAGTATGACCCCTTAATTATGCTATAATTATATGGTCTTTTCAAATCAAGCAGATTTTAAAAGAGCATAAAAAGTGTTATTTTTTTAACAGGAGTTTGTGGTTTTCAAAAATTATATAGTTCTATTATCTGTGTGATGAGTAACTTATCAAAATGTGTTAATTTTATTGCATGGGTAATTTGTTAGCGTATAATGGTTTAATGGAACATGCTTGGTGGTAGATATTAATTAACATGTATAGAGCAGGACAGTGTAATGGCTATCTGTATGAATTGCTCATCCAAATGTTATG